GAAGGGCTAGAGGAACAACCACAGAAGGACGTGCGGCACATCGAGCCCCTCCCGAATTTCCTCCTCCCTCCTCCTCCTCCTCCTCCTCCTCCTCCTCCTCCTCCTCCTCCCCTCCTCCTCCTCCTCCTCCTCCTCCTCCTCCTCCTCCTCCTCCTCCTCCTCCTCCTCCTCCTCTCTCCTCCTCCTCCTCCTCCTCCTCCTCCTCCTCCTCCTCCTCCTCCTCCTCCTCCTCCCCCTCCTCCCTTCCTCCCCCCCCTCCTCGTTTCAACGTCTTCCGCTGTGCCGCCGTCTCGCCTCGCCCTCCTCCGACATGTGCTGGGCCACCACGTCGCCCTGCAGCGCGCGGTCGGCGTGCCACGGGGTGCCGCTGCCGGCGCACGCGGCCTCGTCCTGGGCCACCCAGACCACCAGGCTGAACCTGCCGCCGCCAAGCACGTCGACGCCCGGAGGAGAAACGCGGACCGCCGCCGCCGACAACCCACCTCCTCCTCCTCCTCCTCCTCCTCCTCCCTCTTCCCTCTTCCTCTTCCTCTTCCTCCTCTTCCTCCTCCTCCTCCTCCTCCGCCTCCTCTTCCTCTTCCTTCTCTTCCTCCTCCTCCTCCTCCTCCAACCCTTGCTCCGAGATCCTGGCGTTGCACTGTTTTAACACCGGGCGCTCTCGCCCAATTTCGGGCCCCAAAGACCATCACAAATCGTTCCGACTTGGACAGTGACTCAGGAAGATGTGCTTCTCGGTTCTGGTCGTAATGTTTGGCGATTGGTTGCGTGATACGGGGCCCCTGGCCAACAAAATGACTGCCCATGTTGGACACAAAAAAAGGTCCACTCTCTGTCGCTGTCGTGCTCATCGTGAACCATGTCTACGCCGCAGGGCGGGGCGGGGGCTGGGAAAGGCCACGCAACTCCTGAAGAAAAACCTTGCCCCGACTTCTGGCCGCCGCGATCTCCGCAACGTCAAAACCGATCCAGAGACTTGGTTCGGGGCCAGATATCACGCAACGAAGATGGACAACCGCCACCGAGAACCCATCGGGGGGGGGAACCGACCCTTGCGCGGTGGCACGCCCGAGCGTCGTCGTGTACAGGATGTCGCTCGGGCGTGAGACGCCCAGGGGTCGGCTCCCACCCCAGCCCCCAATGGGCTCTCGGTTGCGGTGGTCTCTGTTTCTCCTCCGAGATGCCGTGGTTCAGGGTGAAGTCATGCACCGCAACGTCCCCGACGTCGAGCGGCACGAACGCGCGGGACCCCACGTGCGCCGTAGGCTGCACGAAGACCGAGGAGCCACAGATGGTATCAACGTAAGTTTTCGGAGGTCCGCGCAGATTTCTCGGATCGGTGCTGGAGCCTCTTGGGTGGCGCCTCTGGCGCCGCTCTTTGCGCGCTCCGCGCATCAGGGAGGGGGGCCCATTGCCGATCCAAGACATCGGCACGGATCTCCGAAAACTCCTGCTTGTGGCACTGCGCTCCTCGAGAAGAAGCCTCCAGAGTAGTTGCCCGCCGGGCTCAGCGGCAGTATGATGGTGGAGTACGCGGTGACGTCGAAGTGGGCGGGGATGTGCATCCGCTCGCTGGGCAGATACCTGCGCACAAACGCGGTGCAGGAGGTGCAGCGTTCGCACCGGTATGCCCGGCGCACGAAGGGCAGCACCAGGCTGGAGAGCTCCTGCACCGCGGCGTAAAGCGGGCCGTGCGCTGGGGTTAGGTCGGGCATGTGCTCCTGCAGGCGGATTTTTGGGGAAAAAAGAAGAAGAGTCAAACATAGGCAAAAATAGTAACGCATCGTTCCCAGACTGTTTGAACAATAATAAAGAATATTTCCCAGACTATCTTTGTGACTTTTTTTGCACATTCCTTCTGTAGAAGGATATGCCCGACTTAACGCTGGGGCGACAGGGAGCGGTTCTCCCCTCTCCACGATGTAGACCTCGAACGCGGGCAGCCAATCGGCCTCGTCGTTGTGGTCGTCGAACAGCAGCTGCTCCACTGCCGCCAGCGCCTCCGCCACCAGCCGCTGGCTCACGAGGCCAGGGAGCACGAAGAAAGGCTGAGCCGTGATCGCAGTCTCGCGCCCCTGCAGCACGGACATCCCGCCGACGCTGGCACGCTCCATCGGCACCACTGGGACCCGGCATGCTGCCAGCGATAAGAGCAGGGTGCCGAGGTGCAAGCGCAACGTCGGCATGCGCCGCCTCAGCTGCGGCCGTGCGCACGCCTTGGACCGCGCGAGGTTGCCTGAGCCGAGCGGCATTCGGGTACCCCCTCCCTTCCGCCGCCTCCCCCCCTCTCTCTCTGTACATATATATATATATATATATGTGTAGATCTCTCTGTCTCTCTTTTCTGATCTCCCCTCTCTCTCTCTCTCTTTTGCTCTCTCTATCTCTTCCGCTCTCTCTTTCTCTCTCTCTCTCTCTCTCTCTCTCTCCTCGCGCGAGGCCGTGCGCCAAGTGGTGGCGCGCCCAAGGCCTGGGGCGGAGGCCGTGCCCTGGCGGCGCGCCCACCCGTTCTCCACTCCCTCTCCATCCCTCTATTTCTGGTGCCCGCCCCAGGGAGCAGGGAGGGACGAGGGGGACCAGGACAAAGAGCATCGGCCGCAACAGGCCAGACCCAGATCATCATCCTCCTCCTCCTCCTCCTCCTCCTCCTCATCATCATCATCAGCATCATCACTATTATCATCAGCATCATCGCCAACATCAGTATCAGTATCATTCTCATCACCAACATCATCAACATCTTCATCATTACCATCAGCATCATCAGCATCACCATCACCAGCATCATCATCATCACCAGCATCATCAGCACCATCATCATCAGCACCATCATCATCAGCATCATCATCAGCATCATCATCAGCATCATGACCATCATCAGGTGTCGGCAGAAGCAGGCCCCAACGCGCTCAGCGGCGCGGCGTCTCGCAGCTCGGTGGCAGCGCCAACGTGCTGGCGACGGCAGCGCCGCTCGCGACATGCGTCCCCGACCCCCGACTGGGAGTCTGAGGGCGTGCCGCTGTCACGCGCAGGGCAGGCCCGTACCAGAACGTACGGTTATGTCGGGCGTGTCCCCCTACAGGGGGATTTTCGAAGAACAATAAAAAATACACCAAAAAGTACCCCAAAAAGGTCAAAACATACTCAAAAAATAGTCCCCAGACTATTTTTGGACTATTGTTGGACTATTTTTGGGGTTTCGTCGAAAATCCCCCTGTAGGGGGACAGGCCCGACTTAAACGGACGGGCAAGCATCCTGAACTGATTTCTGATCGTTGTGCTGCTGGCAGGGGTCGAAGTTTTCCACCCGAGCAGTGGTGCTGACGGTCACCCCAATCCTCAGATGCTCCGATACGCAGCACGTAACGCGTGGCGTACCGGTACGGATCTCAGCACGTCGACTAGAGACGCAGGTCTGACGCCATGCGTTCGCCAACACGTGAGCCAAAACTGAAGGGGCCCTGGGACACACAAATAAATACACACAAATAAAAATATTCCCCATATTTTTCCATATTTTCTGGGTTTTTGTCTTCCCCACCACTTCCCATATTTTCCCATATTTTCTGGGGAGTCGACGATTAATTGTGTCTGTGTGTTTTTTCCCCTCCTGAAAAACGTTGAACCAACACGCAACGTCTCGACACAGACTCCTTCCACACGGAACGCGTTGCGTTCCACCACGGGCGCGCCGAGGCAGCCGATGCCCCAGAACGGCAACGGCAGCCGCGCAACCTGGGCCTCCGCGGGCGCCCCCGCAGACTTGTGCGCGGTAAGGCCGGCGCCCTCTAAGAACCAGCCTCCTTCCAAAATGTAAAACAGGGCTTTGCAAAAAAAACCCGAAGGATTGCAAGAAGGATTGCAAAAAAACCGAAGGATTGCAAAAAAACCTAGGGTTTTTTTGCAATCCTTCGGTTTTTTTGCAATCCTGGGATCGGGATAAATCGCTCCAGAGCGTTCCGGAGCGCTCTCGGAGCGCTCCGGAACGCTCTGGAGCGGCCGCGGCGCCCAACACGTCCTCCAAACCCGCCGATTCTCGGAGATTTCGAGTTATCCCGATCATGATCCGATTTTGTCCCGATCCTCGCGTCGTTTTAAAGACGCCCTCCCCCCTCCCCCCTCTGCGCGTGGCCGGAGACCGCCCCCCCCCCGCAGCAGACCCCCGGCACAGCCCCCCCCCCGCACCGGAGGGCGCTCCGCGCGCCTGCCATGCTTGCCGGCCCCCGGCGGCCGCTCCGCCCCGAGCTCCAGCGCCGTTCCCGCGGCGCGCAGGGCGCGGTCGATCACGGAAGGTATGAGATCAAGAGCCTGATAATCTAAGAACTCAGGGCCAGCTTCCTCAAGCTTCTCAACTCAGGGCCAGCTTCCCAGAAGTTTCTCAACTCAGGGCCGGCTTCCCAAAGTTTCTCAACTCAGGGCCGGCTTCCCAGAAGTTTCTCAAACCAAGCCTGGGCCAATTGCTATCGTGAGCGCCGGAGGGGCGAGCGTGCTCGAGAAGCTGGGGCAGCTGCCCAGCAGGTTGGTTACGAAACGTTGGCCCAGCTTTTCAGGTGGAGGTTTCTTCATCAGATGCTCGACTGCAAGGATGCAAGGGCCCTGGAAGACCATGCCGACACTGTGCGAGCAGGGCGCGGCCAGCGAAAGCGGTCGAGGCTGGGCCGAAGGGGAAGGATGCAGGGGTAACCTTGGAACGTCGCTCATCTTTACTATGCGGATTGACCTTTCGAGGAGAGGCCCACCCCCAACGCTGCAGGCAGAGGCATGAGGTTGGGCCCTTTGCCAGGCAGAGCGCGAGACTCCGCGAGACCAGCGCTCTGTCCCAGGACCTGGCGAGCCGAGGCGCTCAGAAAAAAAAAGTCTGGTGGGTTGCTCATCTGGAGACATGAGCACACTGACGCGTCACAAGCTTCTCGCGCGTGAAAACCCAGACAATTTGAGCATATTGACCACGAGCTGGCGGTCATATGTAATGTTGCAGGTGGATCGTGCCACGGAGAGACGTCTCACTCTGTCAACAGCCTCAACACGCCCATGTGGAACTCGCTGCCAGCCCCCTTGTCGAACATGTGGGCCGTCACGTGGTTGCCTGCCGCCTCGACCACCTGCACCTGGACCCCGGCATCTCTGAGGCGACCGGCGAGCGCCAGGCCCTCGTCGTGCAGCGGATCGCAGCACCCGAGCAGGATCAGCGCGCGCATGTCCTTCAGGCGCGGCGCAGCCCACGCGGTATGCGGCGCCGGGCTGGCCCACTGCACGCGCTCGGCAGCCGGGGTCGCGCCCTCCTCCGGGGGGGCACGGCGGGTAATTCTGGGAGGACTGGCTCGGTAGAGGGCTCCTGGATGGGGTCCGAGAGCAGGTGGGGTCGAAGGATCGCACCGCATCGCCAATGCATCGCCGATGTATCGGCGATGCACTGGCGACGTCGGCGATGCAGCGGTGACGTCGACGTGAAGCAAATCGGGCTCCGCATCGAGCCGCATCGCCGAGGCATCGGCGATGTGGCCCGATCCTTCGACCCCGTCTGCTCCGACCCCATGCTCCTCCTCCTCCTCCTCCTCCTCCTCCGCCTCCTCCTCCTCCTCCTCCTCCTCCTCCACTCAGGAAGCGGGGACGCCGACCTGGAATCGGCGAGGCATCGCTGATGGATCGGCGACAGGCCCCCCCCCCGCTGGCGCAGCCGCACGCTCCTCGGCGGGGGGGGGGCAGCCCCCGACTGTGGCGGCGCGCGGGCGCCCGGGGGCCGCTGCCCCACCCCCCACGCCTCGGCCCATGCCCCCCCCCCCGCCCCCCGGACGTTGGCCCCGGAGCCTCCGGGCCAGCCAGGCTCCACTGCCAGCACTGGCGGATGAAGTTCCTGGGGAGACACAAGGAGGGGTCCTCCTCCTCCTCCTCCTCCTCCTCCTTTTCTCCTTCTTCTTCTTCTCTTCTTATTCTTGTTGACGTCTGGCAAACATCAGCGCCCGTTGTGAAGCATTGCAACGCTAGAGGCCTCCCGGCTGGGGTCCGAGTGGACAGGGTCGGAGGATCGCGCCGCATCGCCGATGCATCGCCGATGCATCGGCGACGCACCAGCGAGGCATCGGCGACGTCGGCGGTGCATCGGCGACGCCGGCGTGGAGAACATCGGGTTCCACATCGAGCCGCATTGGTGATGCATCGGCGATGCGGCGCGATCCTCCGACCCCATCTACTCTCGGACCCCATCTGGGAGGCCTAGAGACAAGGAGGGGCCCACCTCCTCCTCCTCCTCATCCTCCTCCTCCTCCCCCTCCTCCTCCTCCTCCTCCTCCTCCTCCTCCTCCTCCTCCTCCTCCTTGATGTCAGGCAAACATCAACGCCAAGGCTGTTGCGTTTTTCCAAAAAAAACGGAAAGATAATGACGAAATACTTATGCGCAGAGGCCTCCTCCTCCTCCGCCTCCTCCTCCTCCCTCTTCCTCAGGGAACCAAGAGGTACCGATACCGCTACTCCTCAGACCTCTCCCGCGGTGCGTTCTGACCAGGATTCCGAAGCGAATCCAGCCGTGGCGGCAAGGGCCTCCCCTGAGGCCCAACAAGGCGAAAACGAGGCAAGGGCATCGGTATGGGTATCTCGCCCTCCTCTGAGCTCCTGTGTATGATGCGGCCGTCGCCGTGCACCGCCCAGGACCTCGTGTCCATGGCGGGGTCGAGCATCGGGTAGTCCAGCACCATGAAGGCCGGCGGCGGCGCCTGCCGAGGTGGCGGCTTGACCGTGAGTTGTGTCAAGAGCGCAGCGTCAACAGCGTGGTGTCAGCTGACACTATGCTGCTGACACCACGCTGTTAAAGTTAACCCACGGTGAAAATCTTCAAATCACGGTTAAGGGATCCCTTCGCGCCTCCTGGGCCTCTGCGAGCCGCAGTGCCGCGTGGGTGGCGAGAACGCCGCCGGCGGAGCAGCCGGCGAGGCCCATGCGGGCGCGGCTGTACCCGAAGCGCGCCGCGCTCGCCGGTTCGGCCAGTGCCAGGAAGGCGCTCACGGCGTCGTCGACGGCGTCGGGGAGTTGAGCCTGAGGGGACACCACGGTGCCGTCGGGTCGGGTACAGTCGGGGCGTTGACCTACAGGCGGATTCTACAAGCGGATTCTGGAGGCAACGTGGAACATAGCCACAGCATGCTATGCACAAGTCATCACACCTGGTCCGACAATCGTCCCCAGGCAACTCTTCTACTATTTCTGAGCATTCCGCCTGTAGGGGGGCACGCCTGACTCAACGGTACCGATGCCGCTGCTCTCTGAACCTCTCCGCGAGGGTGCGTTCCGGCCAGAACTTCGAAGCGAATCCGGCCGTGGCGGCGGGAGCTCTCCCGGACGAAAGCGCGGCAGCGGTGCGGCAGGTTCGTGCCGTGCCGACTTCGGCTTCGGCTTCTGACGCCGCGGAGGTCGTTCCACCTCGAACGATCGGCCGTGTCCGAAACGCCAGATCGTTCCACATCGACCGATTCTGGGTCGCTGGCGGCGCTCAACGTGGAACGCCGGCGGCGGGGTCGCCGCCGGTCGACACGACGCGAACCTTCTGTACCTTCGGTGGCAACTCATGGGAGCCTCCCATACCATCTTGTCCGCTCTTGCGACTCGACGCTAATCGACGCTAAATCGACGCTAATCGACGCTACATCGACGCTAGCCCATGCTAAATCGGCGCTACCTCATCGACTCCCAGACGCTATATCGATGCTAGTCGACGCCGAAGACGGAATTGAAAGGGTATACAAGGCTCCCATGGTTTGCTGCCGAACCGAAAACAGTGCGGGCGCGGCCGCAAGAAACCTTCGCAAGAAACCTAGCCCTGAAACCCGCAGGCGCGAGATTCAAGTGGGGGGAGACCAGAGCATCCTGAACGCAGCAGCTCCTTCAACGGCCACGGGAAGCCACCGCGCAGCGCGCGGAGCGAAGAAACCCAGGGTACCCTGACGAACAGCAGTCAATTTCTTGATCCGCGCGCCCACTGTACCTGTTTTCCCCCTCCTCCGAGCGCCTCCGGCGCCAGGCGGTAGCGCACCGCTGCCCAGCAGCACAAGGCCGGGGGCGGGGCGGCCGCGTCGGCGTCGGCGTGCGGCCACGCCCTCGCCGCGCCCCGGAGCGCCTGGACTTATGATGTTCCAACCTACTTTAGCCCTGATCACCAGAGAGAATTTCGAGCACCAAGAAAGCACCGACATCTGAGGATTTTTCACGTGTCGGGCCCTGGGAGGCGAGACTCGTTCGGCACTGTTTCGATGTTTTTCCAGGTGCTCGACATTATTTCTGGGATGTGGCCCTTACGTACGATGGGAGCAACATAAGCCTGGACCAGTTGCGGCTGGGTGGGGCAACCCGCGACCAGGCCGCCGCCGTGCAGCCAGACCACCAGCGGCAGGTCTCGGCCGGGCGGGTCGCCAGCGGGGCGTCCGAGCAGCACGCGCACGGGGCCGCCGCCGCCGCAGCGGCGGGGCAGCTCGATCTCCTGGGGCCGTGGCGTCCACACACGTCCGGTGCCCCAGCCTAGAGGCAAGTTCGAGTCGTGTGGACCCCGGCGTTGGTTCCTGACACCGCGGGGATCGTTCAAACTTGAACGATCGGACGTTCCGTGAACGCCAGGAGGTGGAGGAGGAGGAGGAGGAGGAGGAGGAGGAGGAGGAGGAGGAGGCCGAGTCGTTCAACGACGGGCCCATTCTGGGCCACGGGCGGCATTCCACCTTCAACGCACGCGGTTGGGTCGCCGCCCGTCGGCACGACGCGAGCCTGCCGCAGAGGCCCGTCCTCGGGCCAGGGAGCCGTGTGTGCGCCGCCCTGGCCTGGCCGGGGGGGGGGCGTGCACGCTGATCGTGGCCCCAAGGGCGGGCCCGGGGAAGGGCAGCGGCTGTGCACGGATCTCGTCGCCCCGGCTCCTCCGTCGTCCAGAGGCCCTGGATCTCCTTCGCCAGCCTCTCTGGGCCAGGAGATGCTCGGCGGCGCGCCCGGGGGGGGGGGGGGCACAGGGGGGCGGCCCGTCCGAGAAGGCTCAGCAGGTCTCCCACCTTCTGGGAAGCTTGCCGAGCCTTCTCCGAGGCCACAGGGGGCTTCCAGAAGGCCAGAGGGCTTCTGAGAAGCCCCGCCGCCTTCTGAGCAGACCTGCCCCCCCCTCACTTCCCTCGTGGGCGCGCCGCCGAGATGTGATCTTACGCAGGTCCTCCAGGATCTGGAGCCTCTCCTCCTTCGGGGTGCCCTCCATCCCCATCTTCGCAATCGGCGGGAAGGTGTACTGGATAACGGCGCAGACCGTGGCCTCGAGGCAGCCCATGCGCTTCTCTCCATTATCGCGCGAAGCACAACAACCCATGAGCACCCCTTTCCGTGCGGGCCCAGTCAAGAACACGAGTCCGGGGCAACCTGCCTGATTTGAGCCAATGTGACCAACCGCATTACGTCAGGCAGCCCTTAGCGGCCACCCGGTGCATGCCTTCCCTTCTCTTCTCGCTTCGCCTCTTTTTTTCCCATTCTCTTTTCTTCCGTTTTCGTCTCTTCACCGCTCTCCTCTTTTCTCCCCTCCTCTCCATTCCTCTTCTCTCATTTTGTTTTCGCTTATCTCCGCTTCTCTCCAATTTCCTCTTCTCTCATCGTCCTTCGTCTTCCTTCCTCGTTCCTCCTTTTCTCTCTGCTTCTTTCGTCTCCTCTCCTCTTCTCTTCCGTTCCCTTCCATTATCATATTCTCTCTCTCTCTCTCCTTCTCTTCTAGTCTCGGACCCTTGGTCCCCACCTGCGGATCGCTTCGAAGGTGAGGACCTCGACCTGCTCGGGCTCGGAGCCCCTCTCAACGACGACGACAACAATGACTTTCCCACACGCAATCACCCTTGTGACCATGGCAACACAACCGTGTACCACCCTGTTGAGTCGGCTATCCATCGCCCAGGGGCGCCAGAACACGATGGCCACTCACCACGCCCAAGGCAGCCAACCCTCCCAGTCGGGTCACCGGGGCTTCGATAAGGACGGCCGCGAGCCTCGGGACGACGGCCACCAGGCCAGCGGGACCGCCCAACCCACGGACCGCAGGCAAGCCCTCAGAGCCCCGCGCAGACCCTCACGGCCACGAATAGCCAGCAACAGCGGGATCGCGAGACCGCTCTCGCCGCCGGTACTCCAGATTTCGTAATAAAAGGGAGGGGGTCTGGACCCTCCAAGACAAGCCATTTCAGACCTCCCCCGTGGAGAACCCTCCAAAACATCGTCCCCAGACCCCCCCAGGCCCTCCAAGATAGCCTGGAAGAGACCCCCGCCGAAATGAGACCCCCCTCCCTTTATTACGAAATCTGGAGTGTGCCATCGCCACGTCATCGAGCCAACCGGCTGGCGCACTCCCTCTGGCGCTCACCAGAGCACTCGGCACCTTTGATCGACGAGCTCGACCGAGCGCAGGAGGCAGGGGGAGGGGGAGTGAGAGGGGGAGGGGGAGGGGGAGGGGGAGGAGGAGGAGGAGGAGGAGGAGGAGGAGGAGGAGGAGGAGGAGGAGGAGGAGGAGGAGAGGAGGAGGAGGAGGAGGAGGAGGAGGAGGAGCAGAGCACTCAGCGCCTTTGATCGACAGGCTCGGCCGAGCGCAGGAGAGGCCTGGAGCGGCCTTTCGGCCTGCAGTCGCTATGGGGGCAGCCCTCCCCGCCAACCTCCAAGCCTCCTTCGACGATCAACTCGCCATCGCTCGGACGTCCATTCCCTGTGTTTTTTTCGGTTTCGTGCGTGGTTTTTTCGCCAAATGATCAAGGATGCTCCTCGATGGTCCTCGCCGAAAAAAAATTGCACACGTCCGAGCGATGCCAAGTCAACGGGCGGCACACCAATGCTGGACTTAGGTCGGGCCTGTCCCCCTACAGGGGGATGTTGCGCGAACATTGAAAACACGCAGAACATTTTCCAAACATGTTTAGTACAACAATCGTCCCCAGACCATTCTTTGACCATTTTTGAATATCCCTCCTGTAGAGGGACAGGCCCGACTTAATGCTGGACCCCCTCCCCCTTCCCACAGACCACGAGCACGGTTGGCGCCTGAGCCGTTGCTCGCTCTCCCTGGGCCGCTGCGGCGTGTGACGCCCCAGGGCGGCGCCTTTCCGTTCCCCTGGCCGCCGAGGTGCGCATGCCAAAGCGTGCGGAAAGCCCGGTGCCCCCCTGTTTCGTCACGGGCGCGCAGACGGACCCACCAGCGTTAGGTCGGGCCTGTCCCCCTACAGAGGCTGAGTCTCGAGGACAAATGAATCTTCGTCAACACTCATGCAAAACAACAGCATGCTTCAAAAATGATCGTCTCCAGGCTATTTGTGCAATTTTTTCGAATCTTCCCCCTGTAGAGGGACAGACCCGACTTCACCATAGCGGTCCGATAACCGCCGCCCGCCCTTTCTTCCAGACGGGGCCCCTGCGACCGTGCCAGGGGGATATGAGCCGGGCGCCCCTGTTACACTCAGGAGGGAAGAAGCACACACACAGACACGATGCATCGTCGATTCCCCCGAAAATATGGGAAAATATGGGAAGCGTGGGGGGGAAGACAAAAACCCAGAACATATGGGAAAGTATGGGGAATCATGTTATTTGTGTGTGTTTATTCGTGTGTCCCAGGGCCCCTTCGTGCACGTGCGGCGGCTCCCGCGAAGGCGAGGCAGGCCTGCCCGGCGCCCCCGTGGCCAGGGGGGCTGGGGCTGGCATGCGGCCCGACGTGTTGCGATCTCGCCTCCTCTGCTCTCTCTCTCTCTCTGCCTCTCTCTCTCCCTCTCTGCTTCTCTCTCTCTCTGCCTCTCTCTCTCCCTCTGTCTCTGTCTCTCTCTCTCTCTGCCTCTCTCTCTCCCCCTCTCTCTCTCCCTCTGCCTCTCTCTCTGCCTCTCTCTGCCTCTCTCTGTCTCTGTCTCTCTCCCTCTCTTTTCGGCGCACCCCCCCCTACAGTCGGGGCGCTGACCCAAGGAACCCCAGATAAGGAACGAGGCTCCTTTTTCCCATAAGTTCAAACTCGATTTCCCGTGGAACCCTCAGGAAAACCCAAGGCAAACTTTGAAACAATCAAGGAACACGGAGCCCCTCCCCAACGAAAAAGGTTCCTTCTTCAGGGCTCCGACTGTAACTCTCTCTCTCTCTCTCTCTCTCTCCTCTCTCTCTTTCTCTTTCGAACTGCTCGGATGCTTGTCCACCGCGTCCATGTTGTTGAGTGACAACGATGGCTCGCTTGCCAATCCCAAGTTATGTAGTTGTCCCTGACCCCCCTGGTGCTGTTAGGCCCTCGTCTTCAACCAGCAGCGCAGCGCTTCTCCATCTTTCCTTCCCCCTCTCCTCCTCCTCTCCCTCACCCCTCTCCTCCTCCTCCTTGTCCTCCTCCTCCTCCTCCTCCTCCTCCTCCTCCTGGTTCCTGATTCCTGACGGCTGCAAAATCCTCCAGATGTAGCCACCATCCTCCTCCTCTTCCTCGTCCTCGTCGTCGTCCTCCTTCTCCTTCATTCCTTTTCCTTCTAGATAACTCCTCCTTTTGCACCCCCAGGCCGGTCGAAAGGGCGGGCCGGGCGTTTCGCCTGAGACTTCCTTACTGCTCATGGCCCTGATGCTTAAACATTGACAACCTCTTCACATATGGAGGGCGGGTCGCTTCCAAAATGTGGCTCTCGCCTTAGCGCCGCGCACATTCTTAAAACAAGTTGCAAACGTTTCACCGACTCAACGCGGGTCGTTTTCAAAATGTGGCTCTCGCCTTAGCGCCGGTCACGCCCACTTCTAAACATGTGCAAGGGTTTCACGGATTGAGGGCGGGTCGTCTTCAAAATGTGGATCTCGCCTTAGCGCCGCGCACACTCGTTCCAAAGCATTCCAAGAGTTTCGCGGATTGAACGCGGGTCGTTTTCAAAATGTGGCTCTCGCTTTAACATGTGCAAGGGTTTCACGGATTGAGGGCGGGTCGTCTTCAACATGTGGCTCTCGCCCTAGCGCCGCGCACTCTCGTTTTAAACACTTGCAGTAGTTTCACAGATTGAGGGCGGTTGGTTTTCAAAACTTGGCTCTCGCCTCAGCGCCATGCGCATTCGTTTAAAACATGTGAAGGGTTTCGCGGATCGGGGGCAGGTCGCTTCCAAAATGTGGCTCTCGCTTTAGCACCGCGCAAATTCGCTTGACACATGTGCAAGAGTTTCGCGGATCGAGGGCGCTTCCTTTTCAACATGTGGCTCTCTGCTGAGCGCCGCGCGCATTCGTTACACAATTGCAAGAATGGCATTGGTACTCAGGGTTCACGTGCCAGAAACGGTGTTCGGAACGACTCAAGATGGTCAGGGCACAGCAGTTATGTATATTCGATGTGTTGAAGTCCCAACAATGGTGTTCTGACACGAATCAAGATCGGAACAGTCAGGCTAACTCGTGGCGTTGTGAAGTCCTGAGAACGGTTCTCGTGGCCACGCTTTACGATTGGTCATACGGCTGTCCGCCAACGGGACGATGCCCTCAGCGGAAATGTCCCCTAGCAGGATCTGGGAGGGAGGGTGTATTTCATCATCTTTGGTGAGTCCACCTCGGCCACCCGGCCAGACCCGCCCTCGGCCATCTGGGAGGTCGGCGTCGTTGTCGGCCTCGTGCGGCGGCGGCGGCGGCGGCGGCTTCGTCGGCGTCGTCGTCGTCTCCGTCGTGCGGCGGCGGCGTCGTCGTCGTCGTGCGGCGGCGGCGGCGCCCCCGCGGTGGGCCAGGCGCGGAGGCTCTCGGTGGGCGGCCGCGCAGCGCCCGCCCACCTCGGCCAGACCCGCCCTCCACGCGGATTGTGCCCCGCAGGGCGCTCCGCCTGCGGCCCCGGTGGGCCAGGCCGCGCGGCGTCGTCCCGCCCACGGAGGCACAGCCCCACTGGCCAGAGGCCGCAGCTCTGCGGGCACAGCGCAGCAGCTCTCCCACACGGGTGCCGCAGGGAGAGGGGGCCCCGCAGGGGTGTGGCGGCCAGGTGAGCCAGGGACGCTGCTCGAGCCGACCTGCCACAGGCGAGCTAGGTCTTTCTGATCCTTCTGCTGGCAGTCCTGCCGTGGCTCCGGGGGGCTTTGTGATTGTGCAGCTTTTCCTCTGCTTTCGGGTCGTACCAAGTGGCCGTTGGTAGATGCGCAATGCCGTAAGCCTCGCCCAGCAGTGTCTTTCAGAGCTCAACGCTACAAACACAGCCTGCTACTCGTACTTACACCTCCTAAGTCCGGATGGAACCAGAACGAACGGCACGGCGACGTATCATACGTTTGATCGTGGACTGGATGCGTTATTGAAAGAGCGCGCAGGCAATGCAGATATAAGGCACACGTAGACACATCGAC